ATTAAAAATATTATCCTTATATTTTGGAGGAAGGCTGGTGTAATGCTTGCAGAAAACTGAAGTATTTTTGCCCTTAATTCGACTAGGTTTGTAGCCCTTTAAACTGATGCCTATAAAAAACAGTAATACCCATTCCTTTTGAGAACTTGCTGGACAGTTCGAGCATTCACGGTTACTTCTCTAGCAATTTGTTCACTATTGCAGGGTTCACTAGCTTTCACAAAAGCACAAATATCAATATCCCTGTTTTGACGATCCTTATCGACAGGTCTTACATGTGGTTCATTACCTTCATGACACTTTTTACAACTGTTTACACATCCCGAAGTTCGAAAATGTTTAATGGTATTTTTAACTGTTGGGACACTTGGTGGGGGTCTATTTTCGAAGGCAACAATAAATAAATCAATTATTTCGCGTATCGGATGACCCTAAAAGTACCATGTTACAAGTTGCACTTTTTCTTGGACTATACATATACAACGTAATAGGCATTTTAATAATTATTTGTGTATTCTTTGAGAACTTCCTTTGAGGTTTTTCCTTTTTCAGTGAAATTAATATAGAGCTGGAAACGTGTAATATGTCACATAGATTGCCATTGTGTTGTATGGCCAATAAAACAATGTCCTAACGGTGTATAAGAATTTTGTTTACTAATTACTTGCAAACTGCTAAAAAAATAAATTCTGAATATTATTATAACCTCTAAGACCAGCTGAAGAAAAAAAAAACGTGAAAAAAGACCTGGTTTGCAGAAAAAAAATCCTTTTTCATCGTGACAATGCTCCTTATCATATAAGCATGTTGACAATGGCTAAAATCCATAAATTACAGTTCGAATTGATACAGCATCGACCGTATTCACCAGATTTGTCTTCTAGTGACTTTTATCTGTTTCAATACCCAAAACAAAATCATGCGTGAAAAGCGGTTTTCATCAAAGCGACATGAAAAGTGCTCAATATACTTCGTTACTGGGGTGACAAGATCCAGAGCTAAGCAAATCAAATGGGACTTTTGTTCCTTATGTCCAGCCACATGTTCAATTGAGGACCTGGTTTGCGTTGTATCAAATTCGCTATACGTCACCAATTTCTGGCTTAAGGTCGATTCAGACACATCAGTCACGTCTCGTCACAGTCCTGGCGCCGAACCGAACAATCCGTCATACAAAATATTCTTTAATAGAAATATGGCGCCGGCATTCACATTCATCAGTTGACGAACAGTTTCTCATCTGTCAGATAATTAATAGTTATGTGACCAAACAGGACCGGTTCGGCGCCGAGACTGTAACGGGACTGATGTGTCTGAATCGACCTTTAGCCAGACAAGTGTGTAGAAGTTTTAGTTATATATTTGTGTTGCCCGAATTTTATATGTATATATTATTCTAATATTTAAAGTCTTAATGCGCCAAGCAATTAATTAGCTAATTAATTAATTAATTAATTAAAATTATTTAAATGATATGATTATGATTCTATCACACTTTTTAATTCTCTTATCTCAGGGTTATATTCGTGCTTCAATATCTATGCTATTACATGTGAAAGGTAAGGTCCAAAGAATACCGGAATAGTAAAAATCATATAGGATCTCACATTTATATTGAAATAAAAATAATGAAATACAATTCACACTCAAATGTTTTCAATAAACAATATCTCAAATAATGATTCTCAAAATTTTGTTCTATGTACGTGAACCTTCAAAATTAATGGTACAAACAATATTAGTTAATTAAACTCTCAAAATCCCAATTATTATTCTAAATGTCCTAATCAAAATATTTATATCTTTTCCAAAGTAATTGTAAAAAATTGTGTTATCAATGAAAGAAAAACTGCAGAAAAACAAAACTATCTCTCTATGATGATGACTGGTCCAAAGCCTTGTTCCTTGTAGCCTACACTATCTATTCTTAGCAGCTCCCTAGGTAATCAGCAATCTTACAACAAATTATTGCAAGTTTATCGTCCTTAATGATCTCCTTTAAATGCACGAATCGTTCAAATTATGCTAGCTTCTTCTTCTCTCAATAAACTGAATCTCTCGTTGGCCTGAGTGAAAAATGACTCTTGGAATATCTTCTCGTTGCGATAAACTGAATCTCTCGTTGGCCTGAACAGTGACTCTTGGAATATAAGTAGAAAATATAACTTACAATCTTTTACTGGAGCTTCTTTTACGATCAGCTTCTGTCTGGTATACTAACTACACGAAAACTCACAAACTTTCACTGCTACTGCTTCCTACCTCTGGGAAACTACTCGAGAACCACGGCCGTTCGCCTTGCCTGACTATCTTTGTTTCTTCCAAAACTAACTAACGTCTTATTCTCAAACCAAACCTCCCACTTTTTTCAATCTCATCCAATCAAAACGCGTCAGAATCTATTCTTTTGTCCTAATTACTGCACAACATTTATTTGGAAAAACCGCTTCCATTGTCTAAGCATTCATTTCACTTAAGCTTATGCGAGTCACTCAAATATATTTTAACAAAGAAAATAATTTATGCATATCTTACTTTTTGTTCAATACAGGTAATCCAAAAATTTAAAGACTTTCCTTCTTCGAAATGTTGGTTGTTTATTATCCTGAATTATTTTAATTTTTTGGAACTTTGAAATATTTTAAGCAAACCAATATTTTTCTCGACTTTACATATCATAACAATATATACACATTTTATCTGTTATTTCTTATGTCTACTTGATAATGTGTGATGGTTTTAATAAAAACAAATAAATCACCAGATTTGTTATTTTAAATTTGGCATGACAGGTTCTATTTTTACCATATTTATTATACCAGTCACAAATTAATATAAAATACTCAGTAAAAGTATTTGCACAGTTTTATATTAACAGTATTTTAAATTTTTTTAGTACAACTTATTCCTGATCATTACTTCCTGTGATAGTTTAGAAAATAGCGGAAAAGAAATAATAGATACCTGCTATCATTTGTCCATAAAAAGTACAACTGCTACCGAAAGAGACGCTTTGTTAACGTGTGCCATGTACGCAGAACGGTGGGCGCCTGTTGTCTCTGCAGGAGGATTTTTCGATGTCAATCAGTGTAGTATCAACAAAATATTTCATAAAGTGGTCGACTATGTGGTTATAATGATCCAGTTTAATATTATGTTGGACAGTGATTATGTATTTGAGAATGATTATCAAAAACATTAAATGTATATTTGAAGTATATTATTAATAAATATTGTAGCGAGATTAAATAAAACCAGCGGTTCGAATTTATATAAATATATTTATTTATAACTTTACAGTTCGGTATTCTCTTATCAACTAAAAACTACTCCCAAGATCGTTACATATATATACCTAAGTTACTATGTTCTAGAAAGTTCCCACCTCTAATTCGCGCACTTGACCGATTGTTCTCTTGCCTTCGAGAGATCTGGTGATGATTCTGGAAGCCGTTTCGAGATGCAACCGTTATATGAGTCATGCCGAAAGCATGTTCGTAACACTGCTCCCCTCTTAGATCTGAGCGTCCCGATCAGCAACTCTATATGTAGGCCCAGGATGGCGGAATCTACAGGACTCTCCAGCTCTGCATGATCCTCTCAGAAAGAAATAACAGTCTACTGTCTTTGAAGGACATGTTCTCTTCGGATTAGTGCAACACACAGTAATTCGTACGCCGGTTTCTCGGAAGATCACTTCAAGCATGCTTCTGACAATCTTCCAATCCAGATTATCTAGTGCATGGCCTATCTTGGGTAAGGCCAAATTCTTAATATCGTAATTGCAGACGATTTTCTTCAAATTAGTTAGAGCACACCATATATCCTCGTAGGTTGCCCTATCTGTATACGACTTCCTGGTCACCATATACAGCAAAGATCGAGAACGATCTTCTAATCTCAATACTCTTCCAACTTTAGGCTGCTGGTTTTTTAACTCGTCCAAACGACCGAACTTCTTATAAAACACAGATGAGATTCCTTTAGTCATCTCAAGATCTTGGGCAACACAGTGGGCTAGAGAGACGTTATGCGGAACACTAAAAAGATCCTGCTCAACTTCTGTCGTCACGCCGAATCTAGCACTCTCTCCCTCTGCGTAATTGCAGCCAAACTCTAGGTCGCAGGGCAAACGAACTTCACGACCTAACATCAGGCAGGTTGGAGTCTGGCCTGTAGTTTAATTCACGGCCGAGCGGTATGCCATTAAGAATAAATAAATGTGCTGATCCCAATCTCTTTGATGTTCTGATACAACTTTGGACAGGTGTTTACCCATCGTTCGGTTCATTCTCTCGACCATTCCATCTGATTAAGGATGCAGATATAAATCTTTCGTTAAGCTATTTTTAGAAGCAGTGGGTGTAAAAAGAAAATTAGTTCTATAAAATTGAAATAAAATAAAAAATAATTTCAAAACTACTACTTATTAAAAATTATTTCAAAACATTTGAAACTATAAACACAAATTAAATACTTACCTAATTATATATTTAAACAAACCACCACCTGTATCAAGCAAAAACTAAATGGATTATACAACGCCTTTCTCATGGCGTTAAGTTTATTGGCTGATATGTTTTGGTTAAGTTCTTTTGTCTCAGTCACTAAGTTGGTGGCTCGTTCAATTTCATACCTGTACAATTTGGTCTTTAGCATCCTCAAATTTAAAATCTAGGGAACATAAGTCTGGTTACCGAGGGGGCAATTTTACTGTATTTTTTTTTAATACTGTTAAAAATAAATATAATTTTAATTTATTTTCCATATAAATATATCTATATTTTTTGTTTTAATAACATGTTTTGCTGTCACGTACAAGAAGAGAAACATAAAAACGTTTATCGTAAAAAACAATTTTTTTACAATAGTAACAATTGGATACACGTGGCACGGGTATTTCCTCACATGCTGTCCTCAGCACGTGTTGGTAATTGATGGTAAAAAAATATTTTTAATATAATAGTGAATACATAAATTTATCAAATTTTTTACCTAGTTTATATTTTCTATTTAAAAAGGAAAAGATTTATATTGATTACGGAAATTTATTGATTATAACAGAGTGGTCCACTATATTAATGGATTTAGTCTTTGAATGTCTTGCCATAGGTCTCCTTTGTGGTACTACAAAAAGTGAAACAAAAAAATCAATTAGTAATTGCGAAGCAGCAAAATAAAAAAGTATATTTAAAGCTATGTTGGGATTTAAAGTAAAATGCATTTTTATGTATGTACCTTCTACAGGAAGTACAGAAAAGTATGCCCTCTATTCGTAACGGAACATCACAAGAAATATGGGAGACTGTTAAACATTGCGTAACAACACCAGTGGATCGCTCAAAGAAAAATAATCCGGTGAAACGGAACCACTGGATAACAGATGAAACTCTTAAAATAATTGAGAATAGAAGAAATCTTTGTATGAGTGGTGTACATAGTGAAAGGGAAAAAGCTAGTTTAAGAAACCTGAATAAAGAAATAAAACGAAGATGTAAGGCCAACAAAAAACATTTTCAAAATACTTAATATATTTCTAGATGCTATGCCAGGCTAAGTCTTTCCATCACGAAATGTCATACAATACTTAACAAAAGCAAAATATCAGTTCATGCACGATATCCAATCAAATTCCCACCAAAAAAAGTACCTCTAAATGAATCACCCTTTATATACTTACAGCTAGACCATGCGATGTGATTATTTTCCTCCGTCTCACTTATTGTGGATATGTTAAGAGGGTTATACTTTTTTCCTTTTAAAATAGATGTAGATACTGCTTTCTGAACCGCTGGTGTATAGTTATTTGGCAAACCTGTAACAAAAATGTAGTAATATAATATCAGTAAAATAATACAAGTAATTTCTGTATAGATTACACTACACTCTGCTTTATTATTATTTCTTGGCTTCTATTTCTCTAGGTTATCAAATAAAAAATATATTTACTTCCCTTCAACAACATCTGCCAAATTTGGAACAGCAGGGACAGTATGCTTTGATCGTAGGCGTTTTTCCTTTTCAAATCTCTTTAGAAAAGCTCTCGTTGTATCCGTTACTTCTTTGCCATCCAGACTTTCTAAAATATAGATTAATGTAAACAGTGAAGTAAAACAGAATTTTCATGATCCTAAACCAATTTTCCGACAGAGAGAATTCCGCGTTGCTTTGTAGTAATATTATAAATTTGTTCCTTAATTTTCATAAACAAAAGATAGATAAGTTGCAGAGAGTTTTATTTTGCAGCTTTGCAATACGATCCAGTAATCTCTTATATGGAAAATACCAGAAAACAGTTGAATTAAGCATTGAGATGAGCAATAGGATTAACCAATAATAAAACGTATAATGGGGCAATTTCTGCTTCAAATTATTATCATGTAGGAGCAAGAGTACGACAGAAAATCCAAAGAGTGGCAAAAGAGACAAACACATAATGAAAAATTTGTGTGTTTACGAACTCAGCAAAGAAACGAATATCAAAATGCTCTACAGAGAAAACTCAACACACACAGTGACAAACAGATTGCAAAAAAGGAATGAAAACAATTAAGAACACAAGAAACATGGAATGATATGATAAGAAATTAAAAAAAGTAGCCAAACAAAAAAGAAAGTCAGATTTAAACAGCAATCACAGAAGAATAAAAGAAATCACTCATCACTTTTACCATCACCTATTCTAAATGTTTTTATCTCTGCTGTTTCTAACATGCTTTTCGTACAAAACTATCAATATATGGGTTAATGTGCATTTATTATCATATTTTTTAAGTTTTAGAATTTATCTACCAATTTTTCTTTGCCAGAAAACTTGATTAAGTTTTATTGTTTTAAATGTAATCCAAGGCTCATCGAAAATAGAACTTACGAACAATTTTTGTAATTCGGAGCTTATACAAAAACGTTACCCACCTAAGTAATAACAACTGACAATAATATCTTCTCTGTATCTATGGTTTTTATCAAAGAGATTGCCTTGAAAACTCGCTTTGCTTAGGTAATGCCAGTTTTTGATAGTACCACAAACTTCTTCTAAATCATCCAAACCACAGTTTGAAGCGTCAATGGAGATCATCTCAGTAAATGATGATAAATTCGAGAAGGATGGGATCTTGTTCTGAGATATATTCAGTATTTGCAATGTTTTCTAAAAAAATAAATAAATAAATAAATATATAAAACACAATTTGCATAGTTTTTTTAATAATTTTATAATATTGTATAGAACACTGTACAGTCCACATGATGTTAACAAGTCTACAAATCCTGACGAAATACTTGTAGACATAATACGGTTAATAAGAGAACAGCACATTGGAATATTGGTCGACTTATTCAATACAATATACAGTACAGAATGCAAAAAAAATGGGAAAAAATAACGAGGTTTTAAATACTATTAAAGTAAGAAAACTGCAATATCTGGAAATGTCATGAGGGGCGAGCGTAATAACTTGTTGCAATTAATAATGCAACGAAGAATGCAGGGTAGAAGGAGTCGCGGAAGAAGACACATCTCCTTGTTAAACAATTTAAGAGCTTGGTTTAACTGCATTTCTGCTGACCTCTTTAGATCAGTAGTATCGAAAGTGCGTATTGTCATGACGGTTGTTAACCTTCTTAGAGGAGATGGCACATGAAGAGAATGATATTAACAGAAGTCCCCTGAATATTTTTAAATCCAACCCATGCTTAAATCATTGTAGTAACGACATTTATAAGGACTATTTTTAATCTTTCATATATAATGCATAAAACTGTTATTTCCGTAAATATGTGGTAAATATACGACTCAGTGAGTGATAGTCTCTTATTAGCCAGAATCATTTAGATAAAAGGCAAATTTCACATAACTGCCGCTATGTGCCTAAGGACAATGCTTAGATGAAATGACATAATATTTTTTAAGAGACAAATAATACCAAAACCAAAATTATCCAATACGAATCACTGAAGGTGAAGTTCTGAGAAGAAGCTGAAAAGGTAAAATAAAGAAGAGATGATTGGAGGTAATCAGACAATATATGTCTGCGAAGAGGATTAAATGTAAGGAACATGCAACTAGAGTAGCTAATTCCATATACGAATAGTGGTAAAGATAAAGACCACTGAATAAAAAAAAAAACGTTTTGCGATGAAAAGATAAATATTTCCAACATAAAATATGCTGTATATATAAGTAAATAGATTACTTTTTATTTCTATACTTACGGATAAACTAGCTATGCTTCTTGGATCAAAGCACAGAGCAATCCCATCTGGTAGATTCTGTTTCTCGATATGTAGCTCCTCCAAACTTAACAAACTTTCCAAACCTTCGACGACAGATATACAATTGTAGCCAATATATAATTTCCTTAAATTTCTTAAATTTAAATTTTCCAGTTTGGAAATACGATTGTTTTGTAGGTAAAGACTTGTGAGGTTGGGAAAAATATTTCCGCCTAAATTGTCTATTTTAGTGATGTCGTTGGTGAATAAATATATCACATTTACATCTTTGGAAGCAGATAATTTTGGCTTAAAAAAAATGAAACATGAATCAAAATGATAAAACTTGCGTTAGCAAATTCTGCATATTCTACAGAAAATAATAATTAATTAAATTGTCTTGCTTACACTATAAATAGTTGGACTAAGGAAACTACGAACTTGAGGACCTGATCACTTTTTGCAAACATTTTTAGAAAATTACAGAATATATAATAAATATTGTTAATATTTAAGAGTTTACTATATATATATATATACTTATTTTTTTCAATCTTAATTAAGTAAATAAATAAACTTACCACTTCTTTTAAACTTTTTTCCTGAAAATACAAATGACTGCATTTCTTATCTCTCTTTTTCGTTCTTTTCTCTGGCTGTTTTGGAGGATTAGAACTTTTTTTTGCTTCTGTCATGTTTAATATTTCTGTCACATGCAAATCAAACCAAAAATAAAACCGAAACTGACATTTTTACAATTAACGTAAAGGGGTGTAGTAGGCAATAGAGTGAAGTTGAACGCTAGATACATAGTTTGATCAATATAAGTGTGTGACGAAGAAGGAATGGATTTGTGCAATTTGCAGAGTACGACTTATAGCCGTTTTATGGTCTAGAAACAGTTTTTCTTAATATATTCTATTTTCTGGAATTATTATTTTTTATTTTACTGAAACATTTGTTAATAATACCAGCTAAAGTGTTTATTATTAGTTTCGGTTTATTTCCAGTATCAATCTATTACACATTTCAAGTCCACATTTTTTTCATGATAAAGTGTTTTAAGTTTAATATGTGTCATATAGTAAATGAGATGTGCTGATCACGAATATGTACTTAGATTTTTTCCAGCACGTCAGGTTTTCAAGAAAAGTGTGGTTCATAAAAACTGCCAAAAATACTAAGAAAATATTTATTAAAACTTTATTTAATACAAAATTACACTGCAAAATTGAGTTGTTTAAAAAAAAGAATACACGTTAACACAATATTTGTTTTTTTTTATAAAACCGCTCTCTTTTTCCATGAAAACTACGTTTTGTGGTCTTCTTTTTATCGATTTCTGTGAACGAGTCTCTCTTTAAGGTCCAGCAGTAATCAGCCATCTTTCTTAGATTCCATCTGCCTTGGTAACGTCTCTTCATCTCCTCTATATATTGATGAAACCTCTCTCCCTGCTGCTCCCTGTCAGCTCTAAGATTTTCGGGAAAATAGTCAACGTGGGAATCCAGAAAATGAAGTTTGACGCTCATATTGCATCTCAGTTTTTTATAATATTTCGACCATGTTGGCTATAATTTCTTTATAGTTTGGAAATACATATGTTGTTTCCAAGGAAACCGTCTATGACTTCTACAGGAGAACTTTATGCTTTAGATTCATCCTGGGTCATTGTATTCTGGAAAGATCTGTCCGATGTTAAGGTTCGAATTTGAGGACCTATAAAAATTCCTTCTTTAAGTTTAGATTTAGAAAGTGCAGAAAATTTCTCGCATATATATTTAAAACAGTCACCGTGTTTATCTAAAGCTTTCACAAACTGCTTCATCAATCCTAACTTTATGCGAAGCGGAGACAAAAAAACTAATGGGTCAACTAGTGTATCACGTTGCACATTTTTTTGTCCCGGTACAAGTCTTTCTCTGAGTAACCACCCTTTCTTAACACAATGTCAATTTCATGCTCCACTGTCCCACTCGCACAAAAAACATGGACACTTTGTGATTCGAGACTGCTAACCCAAAAGTTGGATATTATTTTAAGATCCTCACATATTTGCCAACAATATTCGCTATACTTTATTTTATTTAGCAACAGCTCAAGATGTTTCTTTGATATGCACGGAGTGAGCAATAGGCACTGAGATATAAGAATTACCATTGTGCAACAAGACACCCTTTAAACTTCTCCTAAAAGAATCAATAAATAACCGCCATGATGTGGAATAGTAATTGTCAACTCATGACTACTTCAGGAATATTATGACAATATACCAGTGAGCCCTCTTGAGAAAAATATTCCGCGAACTCTTTTTCACGATGCCTATATCACGAAAATGTGGTACCTGGCGCCAATAGATTTTTAGCTTTCAGTCGTGACCCTAAGATTTTGCAGCATCTTTCGATAGGCCCAAGTCTCTCAATAAGTCATTTAGTTCAGCTTGGATAAACTTTTGAGGTGTGTCTATCTCAGAATTGAATTTGTCTTCATCGGTTATTTCATCCGAACTTTTATCCGATGATTACTATTAAATGGTGTGAAGAAATGGTGGACGAATAGGGATATTCCTGGCAGGTAAATCAGGATATTGAGTTTTGATATGGACTCTTTTGTTGTTCCAAATAGGCATCGATGACCCCAATAAGAGATCTCCAGATGAACATTTAATAATATTAACATCATTTTGTTTTGATCATTTGACTAGCTATTTGGATTCGCATTGCACAATTGGTAGTTATCGTTGATTTATAGATGTACACTTTTTAAATAAAAATTTGCTGGAGTGAGTGGACAACTGGTCAATATAATTAAGAAACGCAAGCTGGAATACTTCGGTCACATTATGAGACTCCCTGAAAAATATGATCTTTTACATCTGATCATTCAGGGAAAGATCCAAGGTAATCGTATCAAGTCGTGGTAAGGCAATGGTATGGAAAATCAACTACATCGTTATTTAGAGCTGCTGTCAATAAAGTCACGATAGCGAATATGGTAGCCAACATGATATCCAACGATCGATACGGTCATGGAACTCAAAGAAGAAGAAGAAGAGTTTATTTATGTCGTACTTTGCCTTAATTGTTCATTTATTTCAAATCAACAAACAAACTGAAAGAAAACTGAGATGTTTTAAGAGGAAAATCCTCACAAGAATCTTTGGGCCTTATCACATCACGACATTAATAGCAACCAATACCGAATATGAACAAAGGCTGAGGTCTAGCAAATGTATAGAGCCAGTGACATAGTGCAAAAGATTAAATCCCAACGTCTATGATGGCCTGGCCATGTCCATAGACTCCCTAATAACCGCCTTGCCAAGTTAATATGGGAGGAAGCCCTCACAGGAAGAATGCCCTTGGGACGTCCACGAATGCGATGGAGAGACAATATATGGTCAGATCTAAGAACAATGGGGCTATCCACTGACCCAACTATTATGGACGACCGTTTAAGATGGAAGAGTGCTATGAGAAGAAGAAGAAAAACCTTAAGGTTTCCCAGGATTTGATTAATATATTTTGATGTTACTGGGATCTTTGGGCGTTTAATTAAAACAAAAATTTTGTTTCTCATGCTTTGTTTATACTCACAATTTGGACACAATTGTTCATCATCTGGGGAAGCAACTCTAACCTTTTGAATCTTGATCAGTCGAGATCGATTATTCTTTTATGCATATCGGTTCAATACAAAGAATATTATTTTTGGTATCATCAGCAAGTTTGTGGAACTCAGTTCATTTTAGACTGTGAAAACTAGTAAAAGCCAGTGAAACCTATGCGCTAGCTACTAATACGTCTTTTTCTCCTTTTTGCTATTTTACCCTGTAGAGCTCCTGCAAGCATTTTGAAGCAAAAATCAAAATAAAAGAAAATAGGAATATTAGATCAAAAGCATTTATTTAACACACAAATTAGACTACCTGTACAAATAAGAGTTCATATACATAGTTATATAACAAGGTGAGTTTTACACTGGACCAATTAGTACCTAAGTTATTGCAAAACGTGTCAATCAAACGTGAAGAAATATCCACCGGTTTTCAAAAATAAAACTCGCAAAAGCTGCGATGATGTATATAATACCTATCCTTATCTAAATGATATGATTTTTATTATTGTGTGCTTGTGCCAATCGATTATGTTCAAACTATATTCTGAAAAATCCTAGTTATATGTTAAAATTATTAGTAATATAAATTAATCAGTATGATCATGGTAATAAAATTTCAATCATAAGAATTTTTTTTTGCTCTTTAGTAGATAAGTAAAATTTATTAAATATTGGACTTGTAGTTTCGTTGTTTTCTTTATTAGTTTGATTATTTTTCGCATGTTGTTCTGTTCAACGAGTTGTTCTGCTTAGAATAATATTTAGAAGAAGAATCTTAGAAATTTATTGACAAGTAGGTAAAAGAAATAATAAATAAGACTTACTCACAACCAGTTTTATTTAACTATCTGGACGACCGGTTTCGCTTCTACAATATGCAAAGTATCTTCAGGTCCCGATACAAAGTTAATTAAATGAAGCCGGCATCATTGCCGGCAAATACACAAAAACTTACACAAAAACTTTTTTTTCAAAGTATACATCGCAGAATATACAAGCTATGCGAAGAGAGAATACAAGACACACAGTTTGGATTCATGAAAGGCGTAGGTACGAGAGATGCACTGTTTAGTCTAAAGGCATTATTTCAAAGATGCAGAAATATGACTTGTGATATCTACCCTACTTTGTGGACTACCAAAATGTATTTGACACAGTTAACACCAAAAAATGATGGATGTAAACATGGCCAAACTCTTTAAAAGCCACAACCTTAATCTGGTGATCAAAGTAAGGCTCCTACGATGTTATATCTTGTCGATATTATACTACGGAGTTGAATCCTGGACACTCACTGAAGTGATGGAGAAAAAACTTGAAGCCTTCGAGATTTGGCTATACAGAAGAATCTTAAGGATATCATGGACGGACAGGGTAACCAATGATACTGTACTACGAAGAATGGGGAAAGAAAGAGAGGTGACAACTAATCCACTAACAACTAATCTTTTTAAAGTATTAGTTAATAAAATAACTATAGCCAAAATGATCTCCAATATTCGAAATGAATAGGCGCCAAAAGAAGAAGAATGTGTATGTAAAAAGAAATGGACAATAAAATACTAAGAATGATACAAAACGAGACGAAATTATTAAGAAATGCACAACAAGGAGAAAACAGCTAACTGTGGGGTACAGAAATCTGCAAAGAGTAGAAATCTCAGACGGAGTATTTGCTGACCATTTGATGCTAATTGCATTTTTTTAAGGTTACTTTTGTCTATGTCCATTTTTTAATTTTTTCATTATTTATTAATGTCATTGCTAGTTGGTCATTTCTGTCGATGTTTATTAAACTTTTTCTGATATAAATGTCTGGTGTTTTTCCCTTGAAATTGTTTTTCATACATTGTAAAGGGTGCAGCTCACATGTTTTTAATTACTTACACTAAAAATTTGTGTAAATTTTCTCAGTTTTCCCAGTTTATTTTAATTTCTATTCAAGCTTTATAATTGAAAATTTTATTTATTGAGGGTGGCATCTGTGAAAATGGTGTTTGGAGAAGAAGGTACAACTACGAGATATATCACAGATATAAATATATATTTGTTGGTAAAGACGTAGTATTTCTTATAA